GGGAAATCCCACTAAAGTAGAGTCCTGAGGCTAGGAAGGCGAGCCATACAGAGGCAGTACAGGGAAAATGAGAGAGATTTAATTCCTGCAAATATGCTTCATATCCTCCATATGCTTAGAGATAAATACCTCCTTCTCCGAAAGAGAACAAAGGAGAGAGAACAATTCTTCAGGGAGTAAGGGTTGTTTGAGCAAAAACAGAAGAAACGGTTCACTCAGAAATAACAATTTTAAGCCTGCCTGCACAACTATTTCTGTTTTTTGGGTGCCCTAAAATATGTTAGCCACTAAACAGTGACGACCACAAAGTAATGACATTTTTCTGGTCAGCTTCCTTGTATATAAGCTGTCTCTAATAAACGCCACCTGTTTTCTTTCTCTCGAGTTCAATGTTCATTTCTATGACATTGAGACTCAAGAACCTGGTTTCAGGGGTCCCATAACAATACCACTCCATGCCAATTATGGCAGAATTGTCCATTATGGACCCCAAAAGAATTGTCAGTTATAGACCCCATCAATTATAGGGTCCCAAAGGGAACAGATGTATGCTGCATCTCCTCCAGGAAATTCACCACGCCCCCTGCAACTCAGCCAATGAGAAATCATCGTCACCCTGAACTCTAGCTCTTCTCCAATGGTCTTTCATTCAAAATAATTCCTCCTAATTTTCTCCCTCCTCTTCATAAAATAACATTCCTCGGGACTCCTGGGTGGCTCAGTTGGTTAAGCGGCTGCCTTCGGCTCAGGTCATGATCCCAGCATCCTGGAATCGAGTCCCACATCGGGCTCCTTGCTCGGCGGGGAGCCTGCTTCTCCCTCTGCCTCTGCCTGCCTCTCTGTCTTCCTGTGCTTGCTCTCTCGCTCTCTCGCTCTCTCTCTCTCTGACAAATAAATAAATAAAAAATCTTAAAAAAAAAAAAAAAAACCCAACATTCCTCTCCTTTGTTTATTGGACTTGCCAATGGCTTTGCCATAGCTTGCATGTCCCAAATTGTAATTCTCTGTTATTCCTAAATAAACCCATTTTTACTGGTAAAATAATTATGTTTCATTGTTAACATTATGGTTATAATCATTTTTCAAAGGAACATAAACAGTTAGGATGTAGAAAAATCGGAACCCTTGTATAGAGCTGGTGGGAATGTGAAATGGTATAGTCACTACAGAAAACAGTTGGCCAGCTCTTTAAAAAGCCACACAGAATTACCCTGAGACCCAACAATTTTACTCCTAGGTATATATGCAGAGGAATTGAAAACAGGGGTTCAGACACCTGTACAGCAATATTTTCAGCAGGATGATTCACAACAGCCAGGCGACCCAAGTATCGAACAGACGAATGGATAAACAGAATGTGTCCTGTATGGGTCATGGCATATGATTCAGCCATAAAATGTAATGAAGCTCTGGCTGGAGCTGAGACCTTGCAGACAGAGAGTCAGGAGCCCACACCTGTCATGCCTGTTTGGCCTCAGCTGGTTTCTTGCTCGGGAACTCATCCTGAGACTCATTTCTGCCCCAAGGACTGCCTTAGTGCCTGCTGGCCTCCAGGAATCCCAGTTCAGCAAGCTCCACACACTTTCCAAGCAAGCAGCATCCTCTGAATGCCACTTCTTATCACAGCAGTGAGGGGCAGGCATCCCTTTAAAAAAAGAAATGATACAGTTCTGGTATGTGCTATGATATGGATGAACCTTGAAGATGAGATAGGGAAGCTGAGGGAACTCTGTTTTTAGAAAGTCTCTATCTCTGCTGTTTTTCTGTTGGGCCCCATTTCCTCATGTTCTGTATTTTGCATCTGCGTAACCCAAAGCATTATGTTTCCACTCCAGGGGGGAAACACATCAGTTAGTCATTCTCTGAGTTTTTCCCAGGTCCCCAAACACCTGATAATATATAAGAAGAACCGGGACCCAAACATGTACCAGGACATTAGATTCGAACAAACCTCAGCCAACACTAGCATCGATACCCTCTATCATTGATGATTTATGAACGAAGACCTCTGGTTCACCTGTCACTTGCCTTTGATCAGACCCTACCCTGGATTCCTGAAGGAACATGTACTCTGGACCCCTCCCCCCCTATCTCCAAGCAACAACGAGAATTGTTCTCTTTTCCTTCCCTAGGCGACTGGACATTCTGTCTCCCATAATTGATCACTATTCAGTAACCTCTGCTTCTACTTTCTCCAGCTCAAGTTTGATTTTTATCCTATGCAAAGCCAAGGACCCTCTTGGAGGGACCTGTGGGGACCTCCCTCTAGGTCCTCGGACCCAACTTTCTTGCATCAAAAACATTATGCTAAGTGAAAGTAAGCCAGACACAAAGGGCCAGATACTATATGACTCCACTTGCACAAAATATGTAGAATAGGCAAATTGATAGAGGTGGAAAGTGAATAGGTTACCAGGACTTTTGGGGGTGGGGGTAGGGAGTGATGGCTTAATGCTTACTGAGTTACTCTTTGGGAAAATTAAAAATTTGGCGATATATATAATGGTTTTGTTTGCACAACACTGTGAATATAATTAACACCACTGAACTGTGTGCTTACAATGCTTAAATGGCAAATCTTATACACAGTTTACTATAAAAAATATGTTATTAGGAAGAATTTGTTTCTCAAAGGAAGGGGATGCTGTTAACAGAGTAAAAGTCATTAAATAAAACCTAAAATGTCTCCTCTAGGAGATAGTTTAAACTGCTTATATTAGCTTTAATGTAGCCCTCGCTATTCATTTTCATCGGAAACAAGTATGGGAGTTGGGGAGAAGAGGAAGCGTATAACTAGCTTAACTGCCTCTTTGCCTAGAATGCTTAATTCAGTTCTTGCATTTCTTCATAGCAATGGGGGGAAATGAAAATGGAAATCTCAGAACCCCCTGCAAGTGATGTGCATTGTTGCTGTCAATTGTATTTATTGGGATTTAAAAGCGCCGCCTTCTTATTAAACTCAGAATACGAACATGTTCATATCTTATTTGTTTGCGATAAATACTCACCTTTCAAAACCAGATTAGCAGGAGATTCTGTTATTTTCTCTTGGCAGATGGGCTCCTGCTGAACTGTCCTAGAAGCAACCATGGGGGCCCACAGGGCTCACAAAGCCAAGGGAAGGCCAGCTTCCATTCTCAAGAGAGTAACTCTCAGTCCACATGTGTGATTGCTCCTCACGACCACAAGATGGCGCTGTCAGATCACACAGAAGCATAATAAACGCGGCGTTCCAATTTTCCCTTTACTTCTTGTTTTTCAGAGAGTGAGCCTTGGTTTCCCTTACTCCCCGGTTCTTTCAGTTCTCATACCAAGACTAAGATGCCCCCAAGACTGGTTCTGGCATTTGCTATTCCACAGTTCCCTGGTCTTCCCACGGCACCCACATCACCCAGAGGTCTTAGAAGTCCACACAATACAAGAGACCAGGCAATAGGGTTACTTGCCCTTCTCCTAAGGAAGCTTCCCTTCAGTTATGCCAGAGGGCCTGCACCTTCCTTTTAGGATGAGTCATTTCCTTCCGTGACACAGAGATGATGTGAGGACATCTCCTCAGTGAGTCAACAGAAAGGGGGATAAAACAAAGCAAACTTCACCTTCGGGGACATTTAGTCCATCAGAAAGTGCCCTAGCACTTTTTCCTCTGACAAAGGTCATTCTAAAATGAAAGCTGCCTCCGGGATCTCCTGGGCTCACAAGAGGAGGCGGCCCTGTTCCCTGTTCTCTGCCTGCATGAGGGCATCTCAGAGAGGCCATATTCTCACTGCTGAATCCATCTGAGGACACCAGAAATCAAAGCATAGAGTTTGGGGAGGGTCCTTGAGAAAGTCACAAAGGAAGGCGGGTATCAAATGAGGTAGCATAAACTAGAAAGAGCTGGGGAAAAAAGGAAAAGATAATTAGCCCAAACTGCTCACCAGCACCTTTCTCTCTCTCACACGCACACACACACAGGCTCTGGTTCATGTACCTCTCTGTCTTCTAGGGGATATCCTTGGCCTTGAACATTCCTCTTCTTCTTTAATTAAGCTTTTTCTTTTCAGAAAATTGTAGACTCCCGTGTCATTTAAGAAACAACCCAGAGGGGCATGTGGGGCATGTGGGTGGCCAGCTGGTTGAGCTGGTTAAGTCATACCCTTGATCTCAGCTCTGGGCTTGATCTCAGGGTCGTGGAGCCTACGAAAGAGAAAGAAACAAAATGAAACAAAAAGAAAATAGAAGAAGAGGAGAGGAGAGGAGAAAAGAGAAGAGAAGGAGAGGAGAGGAAAGGAAAGAAAAAGAGGGAGGGTGAGAGAGAGAGAAAGAAAGAAAGTACAGAGACAGCCCCTCTGCCCTTTATTCAGAATCCTGCACCGGGAACATTCTGCCAAACTACAGTGCAGTATCGCAGCCAGGATACTGACATTGACACGGTCCCATACAGAACATTTCCATCACCACAAGGGTCCTTGTTGTTCCCAGTTACCCCTTTCCTAAACCCTGGCAATCACTAACCTGTGCTCCATTTCTGTAATTTGTCATTTCAAGAATGTCATATAAAGTAAGTCCTACAGCGTGGAACCTCTTGAGATTGGCTCTTTTCACTCAGCATAATTTTCTGGAGAGTCTCACAGGCTGTTGGGTGTTCGTTGCTTTTCATTGCTAAGTATTACGCCGTGGACCCGCCTTTTTTAACCTGGATACCTAACCAGGGATGGAGAAGGGAAGAAGCTCACAGAAGGAGGGCTTCCCCTCCCCAGCCCGGGTCCAGAGCCACTGCTACAGATGTGGGGCGGGGCACAGGTCAGGACAGCCCAGGCGGGAGGCGGCGCGGGGGGCGGTGCGCGGGGCGGCGCTGGGACGAGGGAGTGCCTGGGCCCTGAGGACCCGCGGGGCAGCGCCAGTGCACGCGGCTTGGCGGCGCAGAACGCAGCCGCAGTTGGTCGCCCAGCGGACGTCTTAGAGTGCGGGGCTGGAAGCTAGCTCGGACGCCGGGGGCTTCGCTCCTGAAGGCGGAGGTCTGAGACCTGCAGCTGCTTCTCCGGGTCCTGCGCTGCCCTCAAGGTGAGGGCCCTCCCTCGCCAAGGTGCGGGGAGTTGGCGCGGGGTGAGGGTTGGAGGGCACTTTCCGCGACGCTGCGGTCCGCGCCGCGGGCCATTCACCCTTGGACCCTGGCACTGTACTTACCTCTTACCGTGTGCTAGGTCCGGTTGTGAGTGTTTAGCAGAATCGTCTCCTCTAACGGGCCCTCTGCCCTAGGAGGTACGCGGTGTGATTACCCTCGTGTTAAAAATGAAACACGCAGCCCAGGGTAGGTGTGGACAGGGCGTGCCATCATTTAGGCCCGCGGAGCACCGGCCAGGGCTACGCTGGCCGCAGGGAGCCGCCTCTGTTTTGGCTCCTGGCTGGCTGTAGCAGATCCTAGAAAAATAGTCTTCAGCTTTTTGTCCTCCTGAGAATATTAGCCAAAGGAATGAAAAGGAATATGTATTAAAGGAGACATCGGCTAGCAGTGCTGTTTATAGTTGGGAGGGGAGACAAATAACTTGGGTGCCCAGTAAGAGAAATGAGCACATTTGGGCATGCATACATGTTTTTAAAAACTCTTAACCTTAAAAATAAAAGTGACAGTTATTTTACCAACCAGGAAAAAAAAAAAAAAAAAAAAAAACTGGAAACTGCGGAGATTTGCCGTCTGGAACAAGCAAGCTCAGGTAAAGCCACAGGCAAGTGCCCGGAAGGAACAGGAGCAATGCTGGGAGAGGGGAGTTGGGGAAGGCTGTTAGAACCAGAAAGTCTAAGAGGAAACCTTTCTACTTCTTGCTGGGACACTTAGGTAGTATCTCTCTGCAAAGTGAATCTGTCTCTTCTGCTTGGATCTGCGGTTGACCAAGCGATAACGTGCAAGGGCTGCTCCTGCTGGCCCCTGACTCCACTCTAAATGACCCTTCCTTTTATTAATTTTCACAGAAATCAAATGAAAATATTATAAAATAGTTTCTGGGTACTCTGCGAATTAAGATGAAATAATATGCATAAAAATATCAGAGCCCATTTGGTATGGTATATATAGTTTAATAACCTGTTGACCAAACAAACAAACAAAAACAGTTATTTTACTAGCAAAATGAGTGTATTCAGGAATTGCAGAGGAATTCCAATGTGGGACCTGCAGGCTATGGCAAACCATAGGTCAGTCTGGAGAACAAAGAAGAGGAACAGAGGAACATTACTCTATAGAGAAAAAGGAGGAATTTGGGAAGAACTGCTTTAAACAAAGGTCTGTTGAGCCTCTTGGAGGAAGGAAAGAGTTCAGGGTGGTGATCCTTTCTGGTGGGCTGAGTTGTGGCAGTTTCTTACTAACTGGACTGTTGCTGGGCAAGGAGAAAAAAAAATCTTTCTTCCTCCCACTGGGGCTGTAAAATGAACGTCTTCCTGTTCAGGAATGTAAGGTTTGCTGTGAGGGGAAGTATATGGGTGAGAGGTCCCCCTATGGGGTGTCCTGACTCCACTTCAAATGATATTTCCCTTTATTAACTTTCACACACCGCATGGTTCCTTTTTCTTTTTGAGCTGGGTAAGTGCCTTCTTCCTAACAAAGGAAACTGCCTCTGTGCAGGAGGGTGTTAAGCAAGGTGAGTGGGGAGAGCGGTGAAGAGCACTGGACAGCTAGTAAGGAGCCTGGCTTGGAGTCTCTTCTCTGATTTTGGACAAGTCGTTCACTTCCTGGGTCTGTGTCTTAGCCCCTACAAATAGAAGAATGGACGAGATGGGGAGTCATGAACTCAAATGCCTCAGGCGGCCAGGCAATATGGATGTAAATATGGAAACTGGGCCAAGCAAAACAGCAGTGAATGGTGAGGCCTGGGGATGCAAAAGAATGCATGCATTGTCATGGACATTAAAATTAAAGCATTTTATCCAAACCCAAGTAGAATCTCAGGATAAGGTGTTCCCAAAGCCGGCTGTGACACTGATAACCTTTTAAAAAGTAATCAGATCCGGTCGCCTGGGTGGCTCAGTGGGTTGAGCCTCTGCCTTCGGCTCAGGTCATGATCTCAGGATCCTGGGATCGAGCCCTGCATCGAGCCCTACATCGGGCTCTCTGCTCAGTGGGGAGCCTGCTTCCCTGTCTGTCTCTGCCTGCCTCTCTGCCTAGTTGTGATCTCTCTGTCTCTATCAAATAAATAAAATCTTAAAAAAAAAAAAGTAATCAGATCCTACCATTCTCCTGCTTAAGATGCTCCAGTGGCTCTCTGTTAGTCTGAGTAAGATCCTTTCCCCAGCCTACAGACCCCACCTCACCTCTCTGACCACATCTCCCACCATCCAACTTTTTTTTTTTTTAAAGGCGCAGGCCAGTCAGGCTTTCTTGAACACTCCAGGCCAGTTCTTATCTCAGGCCTCTTTCTTGCCATTCCCTCTGCCTAAACCTCTGATATTTGCATGACTGGATCCCTAACATCATTCACATCCTTATTCCCAGACATACTTTCCTGGAGCTCCTATCTAAAATAGCAAATGTACCCCATGCCATTTTAGTCACAAAAGGACTTTGTTTTCTTATCACTATCGCTGTTACTTAGCATTATTATTAGTACTTACCACTATCTTGAATATTATGGTTGCCTTCTTTGCCTGCTGGTTTTGTCTGCCCAGCTTCCCCCTCCTCCAGCTGAGAGTATAAAGTTCCATTCTTACCTGTCTTGTTCACTGCTGTGGCCTCCCCAACCGGGCGCAGTACTTGGCCAGAGTCCTCCTATCAGTCGGTGACCCAGCTGAACGAATACATAGATTGGAATTGTATTCCATTCACTGCTGTTGATGGACAGTCAACTCCAGGCGATTAACCACGATTCTACATTTGCTCTCCCATATGAAGAAGTCTGAAGGTTGCAATTCATAACCGTCTCACAGCCCCAAAGAAGCATCAGGTATCCAGGTTCCTTTCATATCTCTGCGCTGCCGTCCTTGGTCCAGAGCGTCTACCCCCATGACAACAAATTAATGACAGAGCCCTAGCTGTCATTCCACAGTGCGGCTCAGAGGAAGGCCAGCGGCAGGGGCTGAAATGGTGCCCCCACAATCCTCGCCCCTCCCGGGTCAGCCCTTTTAAGGATATGTCCTTGGAGCCACATGTAATGGCTTCTCCTTCACTTCTTTGGCCACCCCTGAGTGGAAGACTGGAAAATGGAGGGACTAGCTGGACACACTGACACCTGAATAAATTCAGGGATTGTTGGTGAAAACCAGGAGGGGATGTTGGGTAGCCAAAGACACAGATTCCCAACTGTTCAGTCAGTAGTCAACTTGAGCAAATGGGCAGGATTTAAACTCACCTTTGAGGTATGATGGTGTTGGCGTTCTCACCCTGTCTGACCAGAGCTCTTTGCCCCAGCTCCAGTTAAGCATCCTGCCTGCCCTCGACTCAGTTCCGGCCACTATTATTTAAATCTCTTTTTCTTTCTGTCCCTGGGACGCCCAACCTGGGCCAGAGCCCATTCCCCTGCAGCCCACCCTCACTTCTTGGCAGCATTCTGCATACCTCAGCCCTTGACCCACGGCTCCCGGACAGCCGGAGGCATGGAGGGCCCAGGAAGAGGCTAATTGAGGCCCTGCTCCAGATTCCAGTCGTGACCATGGATAAGCCTGTTTTCTGTCTCTCTGTTCTTGTTACCCGATAAAGATGCACTGATATGTCCAAATTGTCATTTGATGGGGCGCCTGGGTGGCTCAGTGGGTCAAGCAGCTGCCTTCGGCTCAGGTCATGATGCCAGGGTCCTGGGATCAAGCCCCACATAGGGCTCCCTGCTCCATGGGGAGTCTGCTTCTCCCTCTCCCTCTGCTTGCTGCTCTGCCCGCTTGTATTCTCTCTCTTTGTATCAAATAAACAAATAAATCTTCTTTAAAAATTGTCATTTGATACAACATGCATCCCACAGCATCTCCACAGTGACCCTGAGCCACAGGCTCTGTGTGGGCTGTTTCTTCTGGCAGAGGGAGCAGGTTTGTTGGAGGGGTCTTGTCTTTCCCAGAATGAAGCTGATTATTTAAGAGCTGGCTAGCCTGGAGTAAGGATTCAGGCTTCTCTTGTGCCTTTGAGGCCTTCTTGGGAGAACTAATATTTTTCCAGAACTAATATTTTTCCTCCACTTATTACATGCAGGCCACCATATGTATGTCTTGTCTGTCTTGCTCTTCTCAGCCTTGCTGGGACTTTGCAGACCACAGTAGACACGGTAACTGAATTTCTGACCAACACCCCTGACCTTTGTCTGTTCCGCTGTGTTGACTACTGGTGGGTGGGGACATGGAAATGTGGGAGAGGGAGGAAGGACACAGAAACATGTCTCCTGCTTCTTATCATATCTCATTTTCTAGGACCTCTTTGTTTTGACTACCTTCATGGAAGGTTCCGAGTCCTCAAAAAAAAAAAAAAAGTCTTGGTTTTGGCACCCTGCATGATATGTCCTCTGAGGCTGAAATCTTCAAGTGGTTCCTTGCCTCTCTTGAGAAATCTTTTTTCAGACCCATCCACATGTCCTTCCTGAGGCCTGCCGTTGGTACACTGACCTCACCACATCTGTCCCCTTCCCTCACGTGTTTGTGTTCTCTTCCAGATTGTTGGTGTTGCTGAGCAGAGCGACCCACCACAGCTGAACGCCTGCAGCTTGCCCTCTGAATCCTTCCGTGCCCAGGATTAACAGCAGACACTCCCTTTCGTAGTAGTCAGAGTGGAAGAATTCATCATCTTAGAACATGGCAGGTGACTGTAACCTATGGGGGAGATAAGCTTTTTAAAAAAAAAAAAATTTAATTAGAAATTAAATATGTTATAAAAACCCAAACAACACTGAAATGTTTTGGTTTTTTGTTTGTTTGTTTGTTTGTTTGTTTTTAAGATTTTTTATTTATTTATTTGACAGAGAGAGATCACAAGTAGACAGAGAGGCAGGCAGAGAGAGAGAGAGAGAGAGGGAAGCAGGCTCCCTGCTGAGCAGAGAGCCCGATGCGGGACTCGATCCCAGGACCCTGAGATCATGACCTGAGCCGAAGGCAGCGGCTTAACCCACTGAGCCACCCAGGCGCCCTGAAATGTTTTGTTTTTAACATGAATCACTATTTGGAATTATCTTGTTTTGTATTTTCTTGTTTTATTGTGCATTTCAAACCCCACCAGACTATAAGTTCCTCAAAAATGAGAGCCATGCTTATCTTGTTTTTGCTCTGCCTCTAGTCTCTGGAATGATACCCAGGCTATGGTAGTGCTCATAAATACTTATACTGAGTGAATGAACCTCAGGAGTAACCATGGTTTAAAATTCAGCATGACTCAATTTTTATTCTTGTCCCTGCTCACACACACACACACACACACACACCATTCTGTAGCTTATTGTTCCTCTCAACAATATGGCATAAAAATTCTTAATTTCAAGAATTAAGTGGCTCAGTTGGTTAAGCATCTGCCTTCGGCTCAGGTCATGATCCCAGGGTCCTGGGATCGAGCCCCATTTTGGGCTCCCTGCTCAGCGGAAAGCCTGCTTCTCCCTCTCCCTCTGCCTGCTGCTCCCCCTAATTGTGCTTTCTCTTTCTCTGTCAAAAATTCTTCATTTTAGAATGTAAGGACCCACCTGACTTGACACAGTCTGGTGTAGACTCGGGCTTCTGACCCTGAGCACTACTGACATCCTGGGCCAGTGACCCTTTGGTGTGGTGTGTCCTGTCCATTGTAGGATGTCTAGCAGCTCTCCCGGTATCTCTCCACCAGATGCCAGCTGCACTCTCCCTAGCGGTGACAACTCAGAGTGTCTCCAGACATTGTGAGCTGTCCCCCTGGGAGGGGATACCGCCCCCACCTGAGAACCACTGATGTGGATGTTTCATTTGTATCCATTGGTAGAGTTCCTATGTCACCAGTGAGTCTGAGAAGTTAAAATAAAAATGTTAACCATTAACCTAAGCCCTTGAATCCAACCTTTATACCCAGTTGAGTGCCTGAAACTGCTTCAAACTAACATTGGTATTTCCTCCTTAGGGGCCTAAAACGAAAAATTTAAATCAAGAGTTCAAACATTTTAGTCTTTGACATTACCGAGGGCAAATTTAAGCAAATGACTAAAGCCGCCTCCCAGAATAAATCAGTACATGACCTCCCAGAATCTTCTGAACGAGGGAGATGTTGCTTCAGAGGCTGTTGGTGTTAATGACACAGGCAGGACCTGTAAAGCTGAGACTCTTCATAGAGCCTTTACATCAGCCTCGTCACTCAAAGCGGGCTCTGTCTAGACCCTGCCTCCCTCTGGGGTTAGGGGTCTGATTTTCCCTGCCTGGTTTACTCGTCCCATTTCTGTGGGCCTGAAGGAGAAGGAGACAGAGCTGTCCGTAGCCGAGGCCTGCCAAAGTAGGGTTAGCTGGAGAAATTCGTCATGGTAGCTTTCACTTTTGGTGTTTGTCAACAGGGCGGAAACCTCTGATAGAAGATAATTGCTATAGCTCAGGCCTTTCAAGAAATTCATGATGTTATTTTTGAGGAATCCTAATTTGACCCATTTTATATCTGTGCCTTAGTAAACTCAGGCAACCGGCAACCACGAGCTATGTTACAACTGGACTCTTAAAACTGTTCATTACGTTAAAACTGTTACCTGTGACAAAGGTTGGTATTTCCTAACTTGAACCTGTGGTCCATGTATGTTGGACCAACACAAAAACTACGTTTTGTTGTTATCTTAGTCTTCTTGGAATTTTGACCAAGAGGAATTGTTCTTCAGGAGAAATCATTTCCTTTCCGATACAGGCAAGAAAGTGCTCATTGTCTATGCCCACCAAGAACCCAAGTCTTTAAATGGGTCCTTGAAGAAAGTGGCAGTAGAGGAACTCAGCAAGCAGGGCTGCACCGTCACCATCTCCGATCTGTACGCCATGGACTTCGAGCCACGGGCCACCAGGAAGGATGTCATCGGTGAGTCATGGGCTGAATGGTGTTTGTTGTTTGAATTTTGGGGTCAGATTTTATTTATTTATTTATTTATTTATTTATTTGAGAGAGAGAGCACGAGCGGAGTGAAGGGCAGAGAGAAAAGCAGACTCCCTGCTGAGCAGGGAGCCCGATGCGGGGCTCAATCCCAATGACCTGAGCTGAAGGCAGACGCTTAACCGACTGAGCCACCCTGGCACCCCTGTTTCTTTTAACTTTGTTTTTTCTAATTTTTTAACGGAAAAAATATTTTGACAAAACTAACCACTGCACACGGTACCCAGTTCTCAAGTCGGGAGAGTCTACATGGCAGATCTTTTTCCCATCCCTGTCCCACCAGGGCGTTCACTCGTCTCTGTGTCCCTCCAGAGTTATCTGTGCTATGGAACGCAATTACAGGGATAGTCTCCATTTTCTCTCCACTTTGTTTCAGAACGGTAGCATATTTTACAGGTGTTGCACATTGCATGTGTTTTCACTGCCCAGAGTATTCACTGTGTGGAGGTGTCATAGTTCTAGTAGCCCCTACTGCCCGGGCATTTCAGATCATTCCTGATCTTTTCCTGTTACACACAGAGCTATAAGGAAGAATCATGGCCATGTGTGTTTTTCTGCATATCCAGGTGTATCTAGAGGTAGAATTGCTGGTCAGAGGGAAGGTGCAGTCTTGATTTTCGTAGATAATATCAGATGGTAAATGGACCAGTTTACAGTCACACCAACATGTTTGCAAGTGCTCATTTCCTCTGCATGACCGATTTTGATAAATTCCAGTCTGTCAGGTAAAGAATGGCCTCCCAGTATAGTTCTGATGTGCCTTTCTCTCATTGTAAGTAAGCTTTACTGCCTGTGTTTATGTAAGAAGCATTTTCTCTTTTTCGCAGCTGCATTGAGACATAGTTGACAAAAGTTATATATATTTAAGGGATACAGCATGAGGGAGTTTTGGGGGGTTTTTTCCTGGTATTTTTAAAATTATTAGTTTCAGAGGTAGCGTTTAGTGATTCATCAGTTGCATCTAATGCCCCGTGCTCATTACACCAAGTGCCCTCCTTCATGCCCATCACCCAGTTACCCCATCCCCCTACCCACCTCCCCTTCAGCAACCCTCAGTTTGTTTCCTGTAGTTGAGAGTCTCTTGTGGTTTGTCTCCCTCTCTATTTTCATCTTGCTTAATTTTTCCTTCCCTTCCCCTGTGTTTATCTGTTTTGTCTCTTAAATTCCACATATGAGGGAAATCATATGGTATTTGTCTTTCTCTGACTGACTTATTTCCCTTAGCATAATATTCTCCAGTTCCATTCATTATGTTGCAAATGGCAAGACTTCTTTTTGATGGCTGAGTGGTATTCCATTGTATATACGGACCCCATCTTCTTTATCCAATCCTCTGTCGATGGACATCTCAGCTCTTTCCATAGTTTGGCTGTTGTGGACATTGCTGCTGTATACATTGGGGTGCAGGTGCACCTCCAAATCACTGTGTTTGTATCCTCTGGAAAAATATCTAGTAGTGCAGTTGCTGAGTCTTAGGGTAGCTCTATTTTTAACTTTTTGAAAAACCTGTATACTGTTTTCCAAAAGTGGCTGCACCAGTTTGCATTCCCATCAACAGTGTAAGAGGGTTCCCTTTCACCACATCGTCTCCAGCACTTGTCGTTTGCTGTCTTGTTGGTTTTAGCCATTCCGACTGGTACGAAGTGGTCTCTCATCGTGGTTTTGATTTGTATTTCCCTGATGCCGAGGGATGTGGAGCATTTTTTTCATGTGTCTGTTGGCCATTTGTATGTCTTCTGTGGAAGAATGTCTGGTCATGTCTTCTGCCCATTTCTTGACTGGATTTTTTTTTTTTTTTTAACAAAATGATGTTTTGCATGCATTTTCTAAAATACTCTTTTTGAAAAGCGAGATACTTTTAGCTTTATATTAGTATTTTATAATTATAAATGTTTATATTATATTAACAAAATTTAAATATTTTATATTCCTTACTCATTTTTCTCTTCTGTCTCTTATTGGTTTTAAAGAGCTCTTTATATATTAAAAAATTAGTTTCTTATGTGGGATATGAATTGTAAACAGACAATTTTTACTTAATATGTGCTTTGTTTTGACTTTGCTTATGTTGGTTTTTTTTTTCCATGTAGGATTTTATTTACCTAGTTAGCTTTTGATCAGTCTTTTTCTTCCATGACTTCTAGATTTTGTGTCACGCTTATATAAATTCTAAGATTTTTTTAAAATTTTATAGTCTTGTCTAGTGTTTGACATATTTTACTTTAAAAAAATATTTTATCTACTTAAAATTTATTTGGGTATGGGTCCAATATTTTTTCTAAGAACGCACTTGTTGTCTCATAATCATTTATTGCATGATCCAGCCCCTAAATTAAAATGCCACCTTCACTGTGATTTTACTTCTCATGTACCTTTGATTCTGTTATACACTTTGTATTCTGTTGGGTTTTGTTTTTTTTTTTTCCTGTCTGTTCATAGATTTAGTACAACATGGCTTTAATTATTTTGGAAAGTGATACAGTATCTGATAGAATTAGGTCGCCATGTTTGCCTTATTTTCTATTTTTCTAGCTAGTTTACTTTACTTTTCTATAAAATCTTTTGAATTAACTTTCCAGATTCAGAAAGTAACCTGATGATATCTTTATTGAGATTCCATTAAACTTACAGATGAACTTCCATTATACTGATCCTACCCAGGAGAAGGTATGAGTTTTCATTTGCTCCCGTCTTCCTGAACAACCCTGCAGCTCTTCATACAGATCTTGCATAATACTTGAATTGGTTTTCGTTTCTCTACGTGAAGTTGGATAATCTCTGTGTGCCTGTTTGTGTGCCTGCGAGTGTGTGTGTACCCAGCCACGACTAATTTTCTTACTGTTTGTAGTAGATTTTTAGCTCATTCTCTGGGGCTTTCCGGATATACCATCAGATCATCTGCAAATAATGATAATTTCACCTCAGCATTTCCAGTATTCAATACCTTTAATTTCTTTCTGTTTATAATTGTGTTAGTGATAATCCCAAGGTTTAATATTTAATATTGATGGTAATAGCTGACATCCTGTATCTTCTTGTCTTTCTTCCATTTTAATATATCAGTCATTCATTTTCACTTAAGGAACAACAGAGCAGGGACTGGGAAAACAGACTCTTTTTTTTTTTTTTAAGACTCTTGTGTTTTTAAGTGGATGAAGTAACACAAGCTTATTTTTAAAAATATTTTAAAATATCCTGAATAAGGTGAACATATAGGGTAAGAAGTGTAGCCCCTTTTCATATATACTCCATAGTCCGACCCTGTCCATGGAGACAAATTAGTTTAATTTTTTGGTGTAGATCATTGTGGATCTTACTTTAAATATCAACAAGGGTACATATCCATGTAAATTATAGTTTCAAAACTTTATGGATACAGATGTAAATGGTGCCACGTCATGGGACTTGCTTTTTATTCACTTAGATCTTGGGAAGTCTTAAGTTTTAAATGATTTCATAGCACTCCATGGGATGTAATATAACTTACTCACCAGTTCCCCTGCTGATTTATATCTAAGTTGTTCCCACCTTTTATTTCAAGCTCTGTGCCAGTCTTTGTTTTATGGCTCTGGGTTTTCTGCCTTGCTTAGGAAGGCCTCCCCATACCCACACTTACAAAAATATTCTTACTTTCCAATTATACTTAGATACCTTTACTTTGATATTTACTTTTGAAATTTACCTGGAATATATTTGGCCTACGTACCTCTTTTCATCTTTGTTCACCATCATCAGAACCACCCCAGGCCTGCTGTAGGTTCCACACATGGTGACTGGCCAAAACCCTACCTAGAACCTGCCTGAGAGAACACAACCTCTTGCCTGTAGCAGTTACCCTCTGGGTTTTCCTGTCAGTACAGAACCTCATACTCAGGAAACACTCAGTAGGTGTTTTTTGGATGAAAATCAAATACATGTAGATTAAAAGAGGAAGCAAGGAACGTTGTCTATTTCTAAAGTATGAGTCTTTTTAAAGAGCTGGGATTCAGTCTTCCTTTCCGTTCCTCTCCACATGGCTGGGGGTGTGTCTGCTCCTTTCCAGACCCCATGTAGTGGAGTGGTTCATACCTGGCCTGGTCGTCCCACCTCTGCTGCCACCAAAACCTCTGTGGTATGGAACTAGTCACTCAGCCTCTCTAAAGTCTCAGTTTCCTCTTTGGTAGACTGGGACTTACACTTCCCAGTTGTTAAAAAAACGGAAAGGGAAATGTATGTGGAGCACAGCACCTGATAGGTAGGGGGTCCTCAGTGAATGGTAAGCTGGGATTGATGAATCCTTTTTGTTGACAAGGTCCCAGTTAAAAGCATAGATCAAAATAACTTCTTTTTCATTTTGGTTGCGGTGGGCAGTGCTGTAAGTTTTACCGTAGCCCCCTCCTCCCACCCCCCACTGCTGCTGCCTAACTGTGCCTCCCCTACCTGGCTCGCTCTTGCATCCCTGCGGCTACACTGAGCTTGTGCACACCCACTTCAGAGCATTCATGTATTTCCCGCCTACGCCACAGGGCTCCCCACAGGCAGGAGAAGTTCAAGCTCCACGAGAAGGCTCACAAGACCTGGCCCATCTCTCTGCTCACATCACCTGCAGCCCCCCTGGCCTTTCACCCATTGCTTTGGAGGTTGCCTCCTGGTGGCCCTTTCCTGGACAGGCCCGGTTGCTGGACACCCTGCCTTCTCTGTGTCTTATGCCCAGACTGTCCTGTCTCTTCCCTCCAGGGCACCTGGTGAACTCCCGCCCATCTTCAAAGCCTGGTTTACAAAGTTCATCACTAGCCCAAGCAAGCAGAGCCAGCCACTGCTGTACTGGGTTAGACCATATGCATCTTTATTGTAAGATGGGAGGCTTCTCTGGAAGTAACATTAGACGGAGCTAGCTTGACTGTTGTCTTGTATATTCATCATGTGGTTATTATCTACTCTTACAGGACTTTGAGTCCCAGGTGAGAACAGTAGCTTCTTCTCTTTTTATTTCCGTAGCCTGACCCCCAGGGCCCATCACCTGGTGGGGTCTCAGTGAATGTCCGGCCACTTGCTTTAGGGAGTCCAGGTAATGGGGATGCCAGTGGGATTGGCCAGGACAGGCTGTGGGTGCGCATATGAGAGTGAGAACATTTGGCCTTTTCTTCTCCAGGTGCCCTCTCTAATCCTGAGTTTTTCAACTATGGGGTGGAAGCATATGAAGCCTTTAAGAGGAGGTGTCTGGCCAGTGACATAACTGACGAACAGAAAAAGGTTCAGGAAGCTGATCTAGTGATATTTCAGGTTTGTTTTGTCTCCAATTATTATAACAAATTAGATCATTCCATATACACGCTCTTTCCAAATATTGAGTCGCACACCTCTAAGAAATGGTATTAATGTTGTTAGCACATTTGCACACTTACTTATGTCTAATTAGGTAAGGAGATCCGTGTAGCCAATATTCATTCAAGATCCTGACTCCCAAGTAAGTAGTAAGGAATCCCCTGTAGCCCAGCGCTCTGAGAAGCATCTGCACCATGCGGGGGACTTGCCTTCATTCCCTTCTGCTCCCCACCCCACATAGGCAGAGGCTGCATGAAAACCAGATTTGTTGACGCAAGGTAATTTGGTCCAAATGCAACTCCTGCCCTAAATATCTCAATTATTAAGAGGAAAGTCGTCTTTTGTTTTCTTCCTGTCACTGGTTTCCTCACCAGCCCACCTGTGCACTCAGTAACAAATTGCCCCAGGTTAGGACTCCCTGCAGAGAGAACTGGGCCAGGATCCTGCTTCTGCGGTTTCTAACTCATCCCGGCCACACACACCCGCCCCTTCCCCAGCTGGACAGGCATGTGTACCCACAGGGGGAACGGTGAGCCTGGCAGCAAAGTAAGCGTGCTCTGGGGGAGCTGTTGGGTTGACAGAAATCCAAGTCAACTAAAAAAAAGGAATTTATTTTCAGGGCCCTGATCCCTTGGGTCTCGTGGAAGCCAAGGACAGGCTAGCTGGGCTTCAGGGACCCTTCTTCCCTCTCCCTCTGATTCTCCTCTGCTGCTCCCCACATGCGGGCTCTGTCCTCTTGCTGTACACCACACCATGGACTGGGGGCTCTAGGTCCGGAATCTCCAAGATGGATCTGATGGGTCCCAGTTGTCTCTGTTACCAACACAGAGGAAAGGCGGGGAGTGGGTGAGAGAACAAGACCCCCACGTGCCGGGGAGGGGTGAGGATGCGACCAGTTTCCAAGTGAAACAACATGTCCAGAAGGCAAAGTTCACAGACCCTTGGTAAAATAACCCAACCCGCACGGGAGAAGGGAATGCTTCAGCCCTCCTCTTCTGCCCCACCCAGGCTAGCTATGTCTAGACGCCCTCTCCTGGCCCCTTCCCTTTCTTTCCCAGGCAATCTGGAGCGGCTAACCTGATCAGAGTGCGAATTGTGCTTCCATCCCAGTTCTGCGAGGCCGGATCACGGTGCCACCGAGCGTGCTTGCCCCATGCTTTGTCATCCACAGGATAGTAGCCACACCTGGACAGTAAGCTGTATCACAGCTGGCCCAGCAACCTGGGCCCATGGTCCAAGCAGAACCATACTGAGCTCTCTGACTCTTCTTTCCTGTCCTCTGGGATCAGGTGACCACAAGGAACCCGTCTCTCCTTTATCCCCGCTCCTGCACTCCTGGATAGCTAAAGCAAGCCAAGGCCTCTCCTTTCTGTACTCATCTTTCTTTTTCACTACTCCATCTCACAGCTCCTTTCCCTCTGCCTTTCCTCTTTTCCTGATGCGTTGCCCAGAGGGCCTGCATTGTAAGTGTCCTGTTTTTCATTCAACATTAATAAGAACTTCATTCCTCACTACTACTTATTAGTGATCACTACTCCCCATCACTCACTGAGCATTTACTCTGTTCTAAGCACTGTTTCGTGTCATGGAATCCTCCCCACGATGCTGTGGCCTAGTAACGTGTACTAGCCTTGTTGCCCAATGAGGAAAAGGAGGCACAGGGAGGCGAAGTAACTTGTCAGCATCACACAGCAGTGGGCCATGGAGTTTAAATTTCAATGCCAAGTCCTGTATTAGATTTATAGCAAAAGCACATGAAACACGGGTTTCCCTCTGCCTTTGGTAACAGATCATTATCTGCTCATCTGTCATTGATGATGATTCTGGATATAGTGTAGGGTTTCTGTGGAGACCAGGATGGACTTCAGGTCGATCTTATTGCTGGTGTGTAGAATCTGAGGTTATAAGGCTTTCGTTGGTGTCAAAATCCAGAGCTTCTCAGAACTTAACTCAGTCTGACTTCCAGAGGGCAGCAACTGGAAAGGGCCAGATTCTTTTCCATACCTTTCTCTGGTGCTCCTTGATTGGATCAGTCACAGGGACTGCTGCCACTGAGCTAGCGTCCAGAACTTCCTAGCACCACCCCTTCTGCTCAAGGACCAGCCGATGGGGCTGTCCTGGTCGGGGGACACAGAGCCACCTGTAACAGCAACGAGGACCATGGTCAGCTCTGCCCCCTGCCCACCATCACCCTGTCCATGCTGCATGCCCCCAAGCGAAGGGGAAGAAAGTCTCCCGGTCGTGCTGCCCTCTGTTTATACTCGCCGGCCCAGCCCCCTGGGAAGAGGAAGACAGTGGGATTCCTTCCAGATCAGCAAACCTGCCACGTCAGGTAGCCTGCAGCATCCATTTCTCCCTGGTGTTGTGTCCACAGTTCCCGCTGTACTGGTTCGGCATGCCGGCTATCCTGAAGGGCTGGATGGACAGGGTCCTATGCCAGGGCTTTGCCTTTGACATCCCAGGATTCTACGACGCTGGTTTTCTCAAGGTACATGCCCCAGGATATGGATCTCTGCGTACTGGTGGGGGGGCGTCTCCTCAAGTCCTGTTTCTAGTTTGCTTTTTTATCAACAAACACTGATTGAGCACCAGCTGTGTGCAAAGCCCTGTGTGCTGTACTTGGGCAAGGAAAGCGTCATTTCTGAGGTCATGGGGCTTTTGTCTAGTGAGGGATATAGATGCATCTGCCGCGAACTGCACGGCGGGGCCAAGGAAGGCCCAGAGTTGGTGTCACGGGAGGGCTGCAGTGGGCCCCACGGTGTGAGCTCCGGCTCGGGAGAGGGCGTCTGCGCTGGGATGCAGAGTCAAGCCGGGGCCTCACGTCTCTTCACCTCACAGCTTCACGTTCCTCCTTGAAAAACAGGATAATATGACGCATGTGGCAGGGAGAGCATTGCATGGAACCCAGTGCGTGCACAATGCAGTAGCGGTGAATTTGTTACTAAGTTCACTCCTTACTGAAATAAATAATGTCTTAATTCCGAAAGCCTCAGAAAATAAGGGCATGTAAGGAAGCCGTAGAGCCACGAGGTCCGCCGTGGATGGTGAAGTAATGCTGCCATTCCGTGAGTGGTCCTGGCCAGGGGCTGTGCTGCCTCATTGGCCCTCACAGCAGCCCAGGCGATCAGCATCTGGGCCTTGCCTGTCCGCACCCGGCATCACACCCTACTGTCTGCCAGAAGTCAGGGTGCAGTAGAGCCCCGTGTTCACTCGGTCTGGTCCCTCCCCTGTCCCCAGCGGCTGTGGCTGCTGCCTGTAGCTGGGTGTGTTCGAGGAGAATGTTATCATTTGTCCATTCCTGGAGGAACTGACCTCAGACTGTCCCTCCTGGTCCTTCTGCACCTTGCTGCTGGAGTCACATGGATTCGTTTTCTCCTCCACAGAATAAATTGGCCCTCCTCTCATTAACCACGGGGAGCACAGCCGAGATGTACACGAAAACCGGAGTCAGTGGAGATTTCCGATATTTCCTGTGGCCCCTCCAGGTACCCGCTGCACCCCTCACCCCCTCCTCTTCCCCTGCAGCCCACCCCCCCAGGAGTCAGAGATGTGATGGAAGCCTGGAATCCAGACCATTTTGACTCCACCTGAATACAAGAAGTTAAAACATTTTGCCCTTTCAAATGCCTTACTTAGCACTGAAAAAGTGGGCCAATAGGGAAACACATATTTATTATAATGACACCCTTTGACTTTGTTGGGTGGAAGCTAAGCTGAACTTGGTTAGCTGCTATCAGTCCCGTGAATGTGTGCGGAGCACCGGGGCACAGTCTACACTGACAGGCGGTGCTTTGTAAAGGCGGCAACCCACTCAGACCCTGGCAAGAGGCGCCCCAGGGCCAGCAGCCCAGACAGCCTTCCACCTCCCACAGGTGATGGTCCATGGAGCTGGGGTTGTGCCCCATCCCCAGAGCCCACACCCCTCCCCGGGTTCCCGGGACTCTGGGCCTGCTCTCAGGTGGATACCCAGCTGCCTTTGTGCACCCCTGGACTGTCTGTGAAGGGGACAGCAGGGGACAGTGCATATGCAGGCAAGCTGGGGTGTCCCCATGGGAGGCACCCCTTGCTGAGGGACTGAGCTGGGGGTCGGGGCAGAGGGAGCAGGCTTTGGGTCAGGCGGCCACATCCTGGCTCCGAGCTCCCAGGAAACCCAGAAGCCTAGAGGCAAACCATTCTTCCAGGATGTTATAAAGGGACTTTTGTCCAGCAGTAGGAGATCACATATTCAACAGCTTGTGAGCTTTCTTTAAAGATACGGACAGTGACCTGTGGGCTTCTTGCCCCCTGACTTACCCCTGGTAGGGCAAGCCTGGGTTTTAAGGCAAGGAGTGCAGAGAGGGGAGAGTGATATTTTCTAGTAAGAGCTGTCTTTGAAAAGATAGTGATTCATTTTGTGATGCTCTGTGGGAGAAAGTGATAACTTACAGGCCTGAACTTCCCTCCTCCACAGGTCAACTCGTCTCTTAGGGGTCATGAGCCAAGCTTAAATTCTTCTGGTTTTTAAAAAATCTTTATATATTCTTTTCATTTTTCAAAAATACATATTAAGAAAAAAGAGTGAGAGTATAAAATATAAAAATAGAAAGTTCTCTTAATTCCCCCTAAAAATAATTACTTTCAATAATTTGATGTATTTCCTTATGGCCCATATGTATTTTTACATGTGTATTTTTTATTAGCATTATTATGTTTATGTTTTTACATAAATGGTATACCACAAACACTGCTTCAGATTTCTCATTATGTTTCCTTGACACATCTTGAACAGCCATACGTGGATATACACCATAGCTAGAATAATGTCACATAATCCACTGTATGAATGTACCATAATTTGCCTAATCGATCAAAACCATAAGGTTTACTGTCTGAGTCAGAAGCAAAGATTACAGATGAATCTCAATTAGGATCGGAAGTTTCCGGCTGCCCGGAGTTCTTCACCTCACTTGCCCGCATCGTAAGGGCATAGGGCAGTTCAGTTGTCTTTGGTTACCTAGTAGCGGTGAAGTTGTTCTTCTTTAAAGGCTTATTTCAGGTCCTTTCCCCCCTTTCGTTGTTTACCTCGATGACGCAGAAGGGATACCACTTCTGATCAGCTCTCTGCTTTCCTTGTGGCCGCAGCACGGGGCATTGCACTTCTGTGGATTTAAAGTCCTCGCCCCGCAGATCAGTTTTGCTCCCGAGATTGCCTCAGGAGAAGAGAGGAAGGCGATGGTGGCGTCCTGGGCCCAGCGGCTGAAAACCATCTGGGAGGAAGAGCCCATCGACTGCACGCCTCCTTGGTACTTCGGGCAGTGACGCTTCACGCCACATCCACGTCTGCCCGCGCGTGCAGAGAGAAGATGCTCCCATAATAAAACGAAGTTTTGACAGAGTGAGCTGGCGATCTTTCCTGTCGGGCAGGACCGGGTGTCCTACAGCTGGTTACCCTGAATTCTCTTCCAGCTGAGCCCATTATTCATCTGGGCTCGCTTTTCTCTTCTGAGGTCTTTCCATCTCCCTGTGATCAACCTTCGTGGGTATTCCTGTTTTCAAACAGTTCTCCTGTCATGGCAGTTTTTTTCTTTTTCTTTATTTCATAACTCAACTTGGCAATTTCTGGTTTTTCATAGAAAGGTTGAATCTTTGATAGCTGGTGTTTCAGTGCTATGTGTGGACTTTTTTCTTCCATCTCTCGCTCTCTTTTTTTTTTTCGTACACGCATGCATGGCGGCTTTGAAGTTTTCAGTGAACAGCTGTTTAACCCATACGTAGTGTCATTGCATGGGGGTTACCGTGAAAGTCTCCCAGCATCGCTCTGATGGCGTCCTCTCCCTGCGCATGTGTTCACTTGACGTTACTGGTAATTACTCTGAGTAGAGGCTCCTGTAGCATCAGGGATCTCCCTAAAAGCAGGTTTAAAGGGTTAAATCTTCTCCTTCTCATCATCATCACTTCCAAGGATAGAGCCACGGCCTGTGCACAGAGGCCATCCTTCCTTAAGGTCCCCAGGGCCACCCACCATCCCCTCGTCGGACGGGCCACCCAGCTTATCCCCAGACTCTCCTTGTCATACTCCTTCAGGCTGATATCCTCATCCTTGAGTAGCCTGTCCCCTGCTTTGCCTCCCTCTTTCTCAGCATCTCCAGACCCTTTTCCATCTGCCTTCTCTTCCTCCTGTTTTCCGTCTGGTGAATCATCATGCTTCTCTGTGTGCGGCTCCTTCCTCCTCATCTGCATCCCCACAGCCTCCCCCGCAGCCCCAGACACTCCCTTAGAGCTGCCATCATCCCCAGATGCTCAGCTTTCAGGACAGTTCCTTCTTAACTTTTTTTCAACACCATTTTCTTCTAGTTATTTTTTTTTGGAGCCCTCTTCAAACTCCTTTTCAGAGCAATCTTCAGATTCTCTTTTCAAGACTTCTTCCTCTTCAGATTTTCAGGGTCAACTTCAGATTTTTTTCAAAGTCATTTTCTTCAGAATCGTTTTTGAGGTACTCTTTTGAGACTGTTCTCGTCACTTTTTGGAACTGCCTTCTTCAGTTTCTTTAGGGACTGCGTTCTTTAGCATCTTTTTCAGAAGCATCCTCAAAATCTCCCGTCTTCTCATTTTCCGAGTATCTCTCCATGTCTAGATTCTTTCCATGCCAGGTTAGTTGTGGTTCTTGAGCATTCATCCTGGATGTGCTCGAGTGCTCTGGAAATGCCTTACTTTTTAGAAAGCCTCGCCTTTGGGAGCAAAGATGAGAGTTGAACACTAAAGGCCTCCACTGGCCTCACGACACTGAAGAAAGACTTCCCTTCTTGCAGATGTTCCCCTCCCCGCTTGGGGTCTTCTCAGCCTGGCCATCTGTAGTCCCACCCCATGTTTAGACAGGGATTCGATGGCCACCAAGCCACCTTCCATCGAAGGTTTGAGTACACAGATAGCTTCCTCAAGACATCTGGATGTCTCTCCAAGAGAAGGAGCTTCCTGGCTGGCCCCAGCTTGAACAGTCTCCAAGGTTTTCTCTGACCTTGATCAGCACCAGTGGACCATCCTCAGAATCCACAGGGTGAAGCGTTGTGATGATGAGCACTCCCAGGTGGGCCTCCCACGTGCATTCCACCAGCCCCGCTGCCGTTATTCCGGAGCCAGCTCCTTCCTGTGGCACTTGCACCTCTTCCTTTGTGATGTCCTCTCATCTGCTTCCATTGAAGCTGAGCTACCTCAGTATGTGATTTCTAGCTTCTAATTTCATCTTCATCCAAAAGCCTTATTGCGCAATCCAGATTCCATCTTCAAGTAACTGTAGTGCCATCTGCTTTAAGATTCCCTTGGTTTATCGTCGTAAAACTTGACCATAAGTTCTGTCTGAGGATCTCATAATCATGCCAAGTTAAGACAGAAGTTGTACAAAGGCCTCTGCTGTGATGTCAGCAGGCAGAGCAGTTGCATTTACATTTGTAGTTCTTTCTTCAACGTGAAACCTTTCTTTTTTCTCCTCCTTCCGAGATCAGAGGGTTTGAGGCTATTTTCCACAGAGGTCTCTTAGCCTCGCTGGCACATCCCACACATTGGCCATGGAGCCAGATGTGCCGGCACTGAGAAGCCATAATCAGCCTGATGCACAGGGATAAAGTCTCCAGTGATCTCACACCAGCCGCCTTGCCCAGGTGTCAGCCTGCTGCTGCCCAAGAGATTGGCTTTCTCCACTAGGATTCTTGGGGTCTCTGTATAGTTCTCCATTCACAATTGCTCATATGCAAATTCCTCAGCCAATTACACTTGACCCGTGAATGACGTGGGCTTGAACTACAGTCCACTTACATGTGGATTTTATTTTTCATAAATACATTGGAAAAATTTTGAGGGATTTACAAAAATTTGCAGAAACTCACAGGTGACCCAAGTAGCCTGGAAACCCTGAAAATTTTAAGAAAAATGTATTATTGTAAGAATATAGTAAATGCCTATAGAAAATATGTGTTAATGGACTTTATCTGTTATGAGTAAGGCTTCCGGTCAACACTAGCTTATTAGTAGGTAACTCTGTGGGGTCAGGAGTTACACATAGACTTTCTGGGGGCATGCCCAGCACCTCTAGCCCTGCATTATTCAGCTGTACCTGCTGCCTTAGTTTCCCTGCCTAACCCAGGGCAGGCTCCAGGCGAGCAAGAAGGGGCTGGTTCGCTCTGCCCTGCCTGGTATCTGTTGTTTTCACTGCGTCTGGCTTTCTTTTGTGGCACTATTTCCCTATCAGACTCTGCCTCTGGGATCTCTCAAAGTTGCTGATCATTGTTTACTTGACTGTCTTCCAGGCACCTCCGATCCAACACCTCATCACCGGAGTTCGTCCCCCTACCCACAGCCCCCTCACCACCCCTTATCTCAGTAAATGGCAGGAACATTCCTCCAATGTCAGGCCCCGAACCTAGGCCTCACCTGGACTGCCCACAATCAAGATTCATGCCTTGCTGAGTCCCCCTTCTCCCTTTGTTTCATTTGCCCGTTATTTCCATCCACAGTTCTACCATGCTCATCCAGGACACCGCCTTCTTTCGCCTTGATGATTGCAGCAACCACCTAGATAATTTTCCCTTATGTGTGCCTGTCCCTTAAAACCCATTTTCTATAGATTGCTTAGAGCACTCTCTAAGTGTGTGTGCGCATGCGTGCACACGCACGCACACACACACACACGCACACACACACAAACAAACACACACACCTCATGCCACTCTTGAGGCCTATTCATCTTTAAGGGGTTTCTCATGGCTCTTAGGAAATGTCCAGAATCCTTGAGCTGGTCTGAGGTACAGCGTGTGACCCTGTCTCCTAAACAGACTTTCTGGCTACTCCGTGTCTACATTCCTGCCATACCAGACTTCTCACTTCTAGTCCTGGTGCAGGGGCATCTCCTTCCAGCAGCAATGTCTGCCCCATCTCATCGCCCAAGCCACCTCCCATGTCACTTAAGGAAGCCGTCCACGACCCCTTGGATGGGTTGGATGTCCTGTCCTATGCCCTGTACTTCTGCCTTAAAAAAAAAAAATTCTCAGTGTGCAGCACCTGGATGGTTCACTCAGTTAAGTTCCCAAGTCTTGATTTCAGTCTTAATCTCAGGGTGGTAGGATCATGCCCCACATTCTCTCCCTCTGCCTGCCCCCGTCATGGGCATGCACGTGCTCACTCTCTCTCTTAAAAAACATCTCTGTGATACTGTGTTTACTTGAGAAACACTGGAGGACATTTTCATACACATTTCAAACACTGGAGCCATCTGATCAATGTTCATCTCTGTCACTAGACTGTTGGCTTCATGAAAATAAGACTAGTCTAAGATATGTCAGTGTGGGGAGCCCCCACCCCAGGAGGAGTGAGGTCTGCTCCCTCCTGCATGCGGCCCAGGGTCCCAGGCTGGATCACAGGCTGCAGTCTGGCTCTCAACAAGACAAGCTTCCCTGTGGCGAGTGTGCAGCCCTGTGCACACCGGGGGTGTGTGGGGGGGGTGCATGAACATGTGACTGTCTTCAGCGTGATACTTGCTTAGTCAGCATGCTCACTCCCTGGTTTCTCTTCTGCTCCTGTGCTTGCTAAAACTGGCCCCTGGCTTTTGATGGAGGTTGTAGTCTGGGGACCACAGGCAGCCCCAGGAGAAATGCTCCAGAGACTGTCTTCCTTGTTTTTACTGATGCCTCTGGGATGCATTCAGGCATCATGAACTTGGCTCCTCCTCCCTCATACCCAGCGGGCTGCTGCTGCCTCAAGCATGACAGGTGGACAGGGAAGAGCATCTGCCTTTAGAGCCTCATCCTGCCATCTGCATGGGGTTGCTGGAGCCCAGAATCCCTCAACGCAGGAAGCAGATGCCACACTGCAGGGTCTCTGAAGTCACCAGCTCTAAATGTGGGAGTGGTGGATTCTCTCACCAGCGGGGGGATGCTGCCTCTTCCCACAAGGGGGTTAAAGGACGAGAAGTTTAAGGAGAAGACTCCTCGCTGTCTTCCCAGGTTCTGGAAGCCCAACTTCCCTGCAGAAACTTGGCCTCCCATATGCCAAGGATCTTAATTGAGCCTTCCAACCAAAACTGTTAGCACTTCAAGGGCCAGGACCTTATTCTAGCTCTTTAGCTCCTGGAGCACTGAGCTCCCTCTGACATTGCTGAGTTGTTTTTTTATTTGTTTGTTTGTTTGTTTAAAGATTATATTTATTTATTTGAGAGAGAGAGAGAGAGATCACAAGTAGGCACAGAGTCAGGCAGAGAGAGGGGGAAGCAGGCTCCCTGTCAAGCAGAGAGCCCGATGCGGGGCTTGATTCCAGGACCCTGAGATCATGACCTGAGCCGAAGACAGAGGCTTAACCCACTGAGCCACCCAGGCGCCCCGGTTGCTGAGTTTTAAAGCCT